CTCCTCCTCCTCCTCCTCCTCCTCCTCCTCCCCCTCCTCCTCCTCCTCCCCCTCTTCCTCCTCATCCCGTTCCTCCCCCTCCTCATCCTGATCATGTTATCCATTGGCTTCCCCTGTGTTCTTCCTCGGCGTCCTCCGCCTCCTCCTCCCTCCTCCTCCTCCTCCTCCTCTCCTCCTCGTCATCCTTTTCTTCCGTAGCTGGGATAAGAAGGGGGCCGTCTTCCTCCCCTCCTCGTTCTCCTCCTCCTCCTCCTCCTCCTCCTCCTCCTCCTCGTCCTCCTCGTCCTCATCCGCATCCTCCTCCTCCGCATCATCCCCCGCTTTATCCTCAACCTCATCCTCCTCGTCCCGCTCCTCCCCTTCCTCATCCTGATCATGTTATCCCTTGGTTTCCCCTGTGTTCTTCCTCGGCCTCCTCCGCCTCCTCCTCCGCCTCGTCATCCTCCTCTTCCTCCTCCTGCTGCTACTCCTCCTGCGCGTCCTCCTGCTCGTCCTCCTCCTGCTCCTGCTCGCCGTCGTCGTCGCCTTCCTCCTCCTACTACTCTTCCACCTCCTCCTCCTCCATCCTCTTAGGCTTCTCCATCATTACTGGCTGCGCGCCGCAGGGAGGGGTCGGCGCTGCCAGATTACACTGCCGACGCGCGCAGACAGCGCAGGACAACGAGCCATTCAGTCCTCCATCTTCATCATCATCACCATCAGTATCATCATCATCAGCAGCATCATCACCATCATCAGCATCATCAACACCGTCGTCACCATCGTCATCGGCAGCATCATCGCCAGCATCATCACCATCATCAGCAGCATCAGCAGCCTCAGCGATCATCATCATCAACATCATCATCAACAACAGCAGCACATCATCATCATCATCATCATCATCATCATCATCATCATCATCAACATCATCATCACCATTGTCATCATCATCATCGTCATCATCATCAGCAGCATCATCATCCTCATCGTCGTACTCCTCTTCCTCCGCCTCCGCCTCCGCCTCGTCCCCCTCATCTTCCTCGTCATCCTCCTCCGCTCCGTCCTCATCCTGATTATCCTCCTCCTCCGCGTCCTTCTCCTCCTCGTCATCCTTCTCCTCCACATTATCCTGCTCCTGCTCATGCTCCTGCTCACGTTGTAGCTGGGATAGGATGGAAGCCGTCATCCTCCCCCCTCCTCCTCCTCCTCCTTCTCCTCCTCCTCTTCCTCCTCCTCCTCCTCCTCCTTCTCACCCTCGTCCTCCTCCTCCTCCTCCTCCTCCTCCTCGGCATCCTCCTCCTCCGTATCCTCATCCTCATCCTGCTCATCCCGCTCCTCCCCCTCCTCATCCTGATCATGTTATCCCTTGGATTCCCCTGTGTTCTTCCTCGGCCTCCTCCGCCTCCTCCTCCTCCTCCTCGTCATCCTGCTCTTCCGTAGCTCGGATAGGAAGGAGGCCGTCTTCCTCCCCCTCCTCCTCCTCCTTTTCCTCCTCTTCTCTCCTCGTCACCCTCTCCTCCTCGTCTCGTCCTCGTCCTCCTCTCCTCCTCCTTCCGCATCCTCCTCCTCCTCCTCCTCCTCCTCCTCCTTTTCCTCCTCCTTATCATCGTCCTCATCCTCCTCGTCCCGCTCCTCCCCCTCCTCATCCTGATCATGTTATCCCTTGGTTTCCCCTGCGTTCTTCCTCGGCCTCCTCCGCCTCATTCTCCTCCTCGTCATCCTCCTCTTCCTCCTCCTGCTGCCTCCTCCTCCTCTCATCCTATCATCATGTTCCCCTTTCTGCTCCCGCCTCCTTCTCCTCATCCTCCCGCTCCTCCTGCTTCTCCTGGTCCTGGTCCTGGTCCTCTTCCTTCACCTCTTTCTCCTCCTCCTCCCCCTCCTGCTGTTCGTCATCCTTCTTCTCAGATTCCTGCTCCTGCTGCTGCTGCTGCTCCTCCTCCTCCTCCTCCTCCCCATTCGTGCTGTTCCTCCTTATGCCTCCTCCTTCATTGGGCGCCAGAAGAATTTCGGCATGAGGTTGGTGTGGTAGGGATCAGTACTGGCCCAATGAGATTATCTCTACCGAAGTGCCCCCCTCTGTAAGGCCAGAAATGAAGACAACGCGCTCGGGCTCCAGAGCGCCCACGTGCTGCGGAGCACTTTTCAGAGCGTCCGCGCGCCCTGGAGCACTTTTGAAAGCGCCCACTTGCTCTGGAGCATTCAGAGCGCCCACTTGCTCTGGAGCACTTTGCGGAACGCCCAAACACGCACGGCCACTCTGAGCTGGTTGTAAAGTGGTCCGTTCTGGTTGTAAAGTGGCCCGTTCTGGTTGTAAAGTGGTCCGGTCTGGTTGTAAAGTGGGCCGTTCTGGTTGTAAAGTGGCCCGTTCTGGTTGTAAAGTGGTCCGGTCTGGTTGTAAAGTGGGCCGTTCTGGTTGCAAAGTGGACGTTCTCGATGAAAAACCATACTTTCCAATCCTATGTTGGTTGTAAAGTAACCCGTATGGTTGTAAAGTGGTTGTTCTGGTTGTAAAGAGACCGAATCTCGGGGGAGGGGGGCACGATCCGTGTAAAAAACCGACGCGGGCCAATCTCGCGCGTCGGCCGTGCGCGCCTGTAGAACTCTTTTCAACACCTTCATCACCGATGCGAGGACGCCGTCATCGTCGTCGGCGTGGTCAGCATCGGCGCCCGCACTGGCCGCGCCGACGTCGTTGTCAACATCGCCACCGGCATCGCTACTATCATCATCGTGTCTACAGTTGTCGACATTGCCTTGATACCGCGCCCGCCCAAGTCGCCGACTCGCACTGAAATGCCAGCTGGGATGTGCCCAGCGGTCAGCGCCACGGTGGCCGCGTCGGTCGCGCCAAACTATCTGGCTCGCACGAGACATCCTCAAAATCTGCTCCGAAAGCGGAGGATGCTGAGCATGCAAACAGGCACACCGCTCGACACATCCCCGCAATCTGGGCGCGAACGGAGGCCGTGCAATACCCCTGGCAGCCCCTCCTTAGGAGGCGCCTCGCACGAGACATCCTCAAAATCTGCTCCGAAAGCGGAAGATGTTGAGCATGCAAACGGGCACACCGCTCGACACATCCCCGCCATTGTGGCGCGAACGGACGCCGTGCGATACCTCCTGGCGCCTCCCCTTAGGAGTGGCAAAACCAGCAAGCCGCTCAAGGCATCCTCATCACCTGCTCAATATCATCATCATCATTATCATCATCATCATCATCATCGTCATCATCATCGTCATCGTCATCGTCATCGTCATCGTCATCGTCATCATCATCATCAACATCATCATCATACTCAATCATTCACCATCACCATCACACTCACATCATACTCTCGTCTAGTGCAGAGAGGGAGAAGGGAAGGGGAGAGGTCCGGCGCGGTCCGAGAATAACAATAATCCCATCCTTTGGATATGGGGAATGAGAACCCCGTCCTTTCGATATGGGGAATCACAAGAATCCCATCCTTAGGATATGGGGAAAAAACGAAAGGGTGAACGTATGTCTTGATTCGAGGTTGCCTTCGGTTTTTGTTTGTCTGGGTTTATTTTGGCGCCCTTCGGACACCTTGCTCCTTCGTCGGGCGGACTCGCTATGACTCTCCTACGTGGGGTGCAACGACAGAAGCGCGCGAAAGCGCAACAGACTCAAATACAAGTGTTGATGTGAGTTAATCCCTTACGTTTTTTGCCTGGGTTTATCTTCGCACCCAACCAGACACCTTACTTCGCCGCTGGAAAAATTCGCTCCGTGTGGAACGACAGGCGCGCGAAAGAGCGACAGGCTAAACACAACGTTTGGTTAAATATTACACATTGTCCATGCTTGTCTGGGTTCGTTCCGGTTTCCGCTCTCGCCAGACATCTCGCTTCTTCGCAGGTGGGTTAGGTTAAACTTTCCGGCGTAGCTGCGCCGACAAACGCGCGCGAAATAGCATAATGCTAAACACATTGTTGGTTTGAGGTTGCCTATTGTGTATTGTGTATGGTTTTCTGGGTTTGTTTGGGCGCTCGCCAGACATCTCGCTTCGTCGCCAAAAAGTTTCGCTCTGACTCCCCTGCACAAAACAGCAACGACAAACGCGGGCGAAACTACAGAAGGCTAAACGCAATGTCTGCTTTGAGGTTACCTCTTGATCATTCTTGACCGGGTTGTGTCTCGACACCTGTCAGACACCCCGATTCGCAGTCGGGCGACCTCGTCGCGGCTCTCGCGCTGTTGAGCCCAGGGGAAGATCGGGAGAGAGAATTGGGGGGAAAGGGACAAAGAGAGAGAGAGAGAGAGAGAGAAAGAGAGAACGAGAGAGAGAGAGAGGCAAATAAAAAATATAGGGAGAGAGAAAGCGAGAGAGATGTAGAAACACACAGAGAGCGCAAGAGCGAAAGAGAGAGAGAGAGAGGCAGAGTGAGAGGGGGAGAAGGGGGGAGAGAGCGAGGGAGAGAGAGAGAGAGGTTTCCGCCAACTTTCGCGCGGCTTCCGCGAAGCTTCGCTGACGAAACATAATTCAGCCAACTGCCACAACTGCTCCGCTCGTTCTCGTAGTGCGCAAGAAGAAACTCTCATGGGTAATTGCCGTTGGCTGCGTGGCAAAGCATAGACAACGATCTCCCCCCCCTGCGCTGGTGGGGGAACCAGGAGGTACCGATACCGCTGCTCCCCGTGCCTCTCCCAGGGTGCTCCCGACCAGGATTCCGAGGCGAACCCAGCGGTGGCAACGAGGGCCTCCGAGCAGGCCGAAAAATGGGAAAACGGGCGCGAGGGACAGCGGTATCGGTACCCTTTCCTCCTCCTCCTCTTCGGGGGCGGCCAAGAGGGGTGCGTCCACGAGGGGGGGGCGCAAGTCATGGCCGGAGGCACGTGCGCGGCCCCGGGGGGGGGGGGCCAGGGGCGCCATGAAATAAGAAGAGGCGCCGTGAAGTCCCAGGGCATCTCATGGCCGATGCCATGATCTCCCCCCCCCTCGTCATCCCCCCCCCCCCCTCTCTGCCGCCCCCGACCTCTGAGCTGGGGCGGCGGCATCTGCCACGCCAGCTTGCGGTAGAGCCTGCAGGCCGCGGGCGCGGACGGCCGCCGCGCGCGAGATATCCCGGCGGGAGCGGCGGGGAGCGGGCCCGGACCCGCTCGAGGCCCTCCCGCTCTGTCGGCACGGGCGCCCCCCCCTGAGCTCTGGACCTGCGACGAAGCCAGCACGAGGACACCATCGGGTGAGGATGCAGTCGTCGGCCTGACCTAACGATGAGTAGGGAACGGAGCCCCCCTTTCTTCCAATGAGTAACGCACGAGGAACGGTAAGTAGTACATAAGGCAAGAGGACTGATAAATAACGCATGCAAGCCAAAGGAACGACCGAGCCCCGTTTGAAAAGTAAGTGTTCCTTCTTCATGCCGCTCACTGTAAATCGTGGATCTCTGAGATCTGGCGGCTCTGGAGGATGTGTGGGGCGCCGCGGCCTGTGCAAAGCGTTCCACAACGCTCTGCAACGGATTTGTCATCGCCCTAGCCGCTAGCCTCGTCCCAGGACCGCCACCTCAGGGAGCCCGTTTTTCGAGCCAGATCGTTTCTTGAAGGTCCCAGGGCCCGTCGAAAGGCCCCAGGAGGCCCGTTGCAACGCCAAACATCCAGACGGACGCGCGGGCATCCGAAGGTGCGCATAAGGCAACCCGACGCAGAGGCAAGAGAGAGCGTCAGAGCAGGAAAAGGAGGGGGGGGGAAAGAGGAGGAGGAGGAGCAGGAGGAGGAGGACCAATGTAAACCCAAGAGTCACCAACGATGTCGGAATAAACCCTCCCCTCAAGCTATATGCCCCTACCCTACACCGGTCCATTTCCACAGAGGAACCTGCCTCGTTGGAACACAACCGTTTGAAGACCCTGAAACATGCCAAAACATTATTCTCGGTATTCCAACGCCACGGATGAACCTGACTGCTGCGTCTGGACGATTCTGAATCGTGCCAGAACGCCATTCTTGGGACCTCAACTCCGCGAGTCATCGTAACTGCTGCGCCCTCAAAATCGCGAATCCTTCCAAAACGCCATTTCTGGTACGTCGATCACGGGAACCCGTGAAACTCTTACAACTTTTAACACACGTGTGCGCGGCGCTGAAGCGAGAGCCACATTTTGAAAAGGAACCGCCCTCGATCCTTCAAACGCTTGCACATGTTTAAAGCGAATGTGCACGGCGCTAAGGCGAGAGTCACATTTTGAAAACGGCCCACCCTCAATCCGTGAAACACTTGCACATGTTTCAAACGAATGTGGGCGGCGCTGAAGCGAGAACCACAATTTGAAAACCACCCGCCCCTCAATCCGTTCAGCTCTAGCAAATGTTTTAAAAAAGTGTGCGTGGCGCTAAGGCGAGAACCACGTGTGAAAACGACCCACCCTCCACTTTTAAAACTGTTGACAATGTTTAAGCTTCAGGGTCATCAGTGATGAAGAAATCTCAGGCGAAACGCCTGGCACGCCCTAAAAATTTGCCTCGGGGTACGACAGGGGGAAATTACGTATAAGGAGAAATAATGGAGGAGGAGGAGGAAGGGGAGAAGGAGGAGGGATGAGAGGAAAGAGGAGGAGGACGAGGAGGACCTTTCGCACCTTTCCTTAAATGGGCCCCCCGAGTGCAAGCTTAGCCCCACCATCCGCCTCATTTGCTAGGGAACTCCATGCCACACTTAGGCGGGAGTCCCGTGCCCATTCTACTCAAACTCTGCCTCTCTGCGGCAGTCATCTCGGGAGGGCTGGGTTTGGCAATCTTGACAAAGTGCTGCACACAAAAAACCCACGAAACCTGCAAAACAAAATTCCCCGACACACTCCAAGGGAATGGGCGGGGTGCATCTTGCCCAGGAGTGGGTGTTCAGCCACGGCCCCCCCAGGAAGCCTCCCGGCGGAACCGTCCGCGGCGACGGGCCCAACGTGCACAGAGGTACCCAACATGGCGGACCCGACCCTGGACACTGGGGAGGCCCAAAATGCTCGAGCTTGCCCTCGAGGGCCGGGAACTTACCGAAGCACCTCCGGCACTTCAACGGAGTTCCCGCTTTCGAGATGCCACGTCCCTGTGCCAGCACACGGAGCTTGCGCTGGTTCGGGGACGCGAACACATTCTTGACTCTGCGCAGCTTTCGGCCCAGGCGGCGATCGTCTCTGGACCTCGCGCACGTCAGCACGACATGACGACTGATCGCTAAAAGCCTTCGGAGCACTAAATGCCTGCGGTGGCCCTCTTTCTCGAGGTTACTTATACAGTTAGGATCTACGCCCCCCCCGAGCCCGCAACACCTCCTGCAAAATGTCTGCCACTGCATTCACAACCAAACTGCGGGCGTCGGGGCGGGTATCCCTGAGATCGTGCTCGGTGGGGTGGCTCTTGACCCAGTGGGCCGATGCGGTGCCGTCTCTGGTGCTGAGCTGGCCCCGCACTTCTTGCCATGTATCGAGCATCACCGTGGTGTCAACAAGGGCCCGGGGTCCTCTTTTGAACGCGCCATCTATAAGCTTATAGTCAGTGCAGAACGCGATACTGCAAGCCGTGAGCCTCAACAGATAAAGTGCGGCAGCGAGCTCGGCGCGAGGCGAACTCTGGTGGGGGCCTGCCAATGCACCACATAGAACTCCTTCTACTTCCAAGGATCCAGGTCGAAGGTGAACGACGCGCCACCCACATCTCCTCGTCCACCAATCCTTGGCACTCTTCTCTCCTCCAGACCCATCAGTGCCGAAAAAGCCGTTCATGATCTGCCTATCGCGATTCAGAGCTTCCAGGAAAGATCCCCAAGCCCAAACTTTCAGCGAGGCCCCAAGGAGGGGGCCAAAGACCACCCGAAGGTAACAAGCCCACGGAGCCAGAAACGCGGGGCGTCCACGGCCCCTCGGATGGCTTCAGAAGCCATGTCTTGGGTTTGGGCAAGATGTGGGGATCGCCCAGCTCTCGATTACAACTACACTCCCCAAATCTGTGCATCGGCGTCTCGGCCTGGGGCCCGCATCTCGGACGCGCGCCGCTCGAGTCGTGTCCTGCGCCTTTGAAGCGTTGCTCAGGCCACTGTGATCCGATCGCGAGGTCGCGGAGGATGCCCGCGCCCACCGCGCCTCCGTCTTCGAGCAACTTCTTGCGGAGCCTACGGCGCAACATAGAGTCAACACCTCCTTGCAGGCCATCTCCGCAAAAATGCTCAGCAGCTGCCGGCCGCTGCCGCCCTGAAAAGCAAGCGCCAACAACGTGCCGCAAGAGAAAACGGAAGTCTCTGCGATCGACTCGAACGACGCCTCCAGGTAGCTCCCAGCGAACGGGGCTCGCAAGGGGTGCCCCCCAAGCCCAAGATGGCGGCGATGACCGCGCAGGCGGGCCCCCATGGCCAGGCGCCGCGCATGATCTGGCCCAGCCCCGCGCATTTCCCACAGTGGGGCCCCGCATCTGCGGGGTATGCGCGCCGAGCTCGTCGTCGAGATGAGGCCGCATTCGCCCCCATTCCAGGGCGCGTTCATATCTGAGCTCGTGCCCGGGGTCATCGCGAGCAGCTCCCCCGAGCGCCGAGAGGGCAGTGGCGCGCGCTCCCGGGCTCCACCTGCGCGTGGCCGCCGCGGCCCGCGCACGGAGAGGCCGCGCTCTGGGCGGCGGCGTGCCGAGCACCTGGCGGGGCCAAGTCCCGGCTGCAATGGCAGCTGGCTTGCGCAACCTGCGAGCCTTCGCGTTGGGGGCGGACAGAAAATTAAGCTCCTTGGAACACCCCATGGCTTCCTTCTTCCGATCATTCATTTTCCGCATCGCACGCCCGCGCCAAGAAGCGGTGCCACCTCCCAGGCCTTTGACAGCGCCCGCGAATAGGGAAGCCCGGGCCTGGAACAGGCAGCCCTCAGGGGCCGCCATGGCCGATTTCCCCGAGAGGGCACAACCATGAGCACGAAATCTAGCGCGGAGGTAGGGAGCTGCAGTAACAAGATGCTGGCGCATGTACGCCGCCGAGCCCTGCAGCGACTGCGCGACGTCATCCACGTGCGCAAAAGATGGGACACGAGGGAGCTGAGCATGCATGTGCTCGGGTATGCCATAGGCATGACATTTGATGCGTGGTAGCGACTGCGACCAACCATCCAGTTTTGAGATCCCACTGGGCACCACAGAAGGGCACCATGTTGGTCACGTCTAGCACCCCATGGGCCGCGCGCATCATGGGGCCGAGGTACAGGAGGAGAGGAAGTAGGTCACATGCAACGCCAGCCCTATCAGCTGGACAGGGTCAAGCTTGCCGAAAAACTTCCCCACGCCCCAATGGACGGAGGCTGACGCCCCCCCAAGCTCTCGATCGACCTCGCGCGCCAATTCCCTTGTCACAGCAGCCCTAGGGGCCGACGAGCTTTTTGACGGCGGAATCCCGAAAGTTAATGAGAATGTCGGTCCACGCCAGGATTTTGCCCCCCCAAACTAGGTCTAGACCCTCTATGGGGTCGGGCATTTGGCGATGGGCCGTTCAGAAATCTCATTTTTGGGCAGCAGCGCGACGAGGTTCAGAAAGACCTGCTGAGGGAACGCGGGCACCCGCTCGACGTCTCGGCAAATGCCCGCGAGACATTCAAGGGCCTCGATTGGGAGCTTCAAACCCCCTGGAGGGCCAGCCATTGACCCCGTAACCGGCCCTGGGGCCCCATGGGTTCCACCCCGAGCGCTTCCTTTCTCAGCCAGGGGCCGCAGGAGACCCGCGGCACACTCTTAGTACATTTTCTACGCGAGGGTGGGGTCCAGAGCTTATTCCAAACAACTTCGCGATGAGTCATCATCTCATCAGGCACCTGGGCAATCCCGGACTGAGTAATGTGAAACTCCAACTCTTGCTTCGTATCACTCTTAAGCCACATGTGTATCTTCTTGCCCCCGCCTTTCAGCCCAGTGGAGATCCTGCTCTGCAGGAGCTGCCTGCCCATTTTCCGAGCTTGCGTCCGCGCGCGACGGAGGATTGGCGCGCTGGCCCCAAACGTCTGCTCGACTTTCTTGGTGCCAAACGCATTGGAAGTGAGCCAATCGGCCCACGTTTGCGCACGATGCGGCTCTCCCAACGGGACCAGGTGATGATTGGCTTCGGCTGCTCGAGCAGCCGACGTGGCCCCGAGGCATAGCGGCCGTCAACTCCACCTCGCCACAGGGGGCAAGCGAGATCAGACGGCCGAGCAAAGAGAAATGACCAAAAGGCGAGATCCGGGCATGCAAATCCTCGCTGCAATTCACCTCGTCTGAGGAGGTGCCCGAACCGAAACTTGACCCCGAAGCCCATGACCCCGCGGGGGTTTCCCTTTCGGCCCCCGACCTGGAATGCCATGAGGTTTCGGCCGCCACGGACCAGCCAAGTACATGTTGCCCAGGTGTCCTGAATGAGCATGCGCGTGGTGTGAAGGGAGAGCTTCTTCCACTTGATGTGGCACTTGGTGGTCCTGGCTCGCGCCAGCTTCCTCGTCCGGCACGTAGTGGCCCCGCTGTCGGTGGGCCGCGAGCTGCTGGCAGAGGCAGCTGGCATGCTTCGCTTGCACACTTCCGCCTGCACGACTGCGAATGGTAGAGTCCTGTTTAACGGCGCATGGTTTTGAAGGATGCAACTAGATCAGGTACAACATGCACGCGCGGCCGAATGTCATGGGGCGCAACAACATAGTCAATCAGACTGCATTTGCTCTTACGCATAGGTAACGCTCGCAGGGTCAATGACCTCCATTTCGCGAACTCGCAGAAGCCACGCTGACGCAAAGAAAGCCTTTCAACATGAAAGTCGCCAGTGAGGACCCACGGCGTCTCAGTCACATCATTAACGAAATCGGCGATCTGGCGGGGGCGCCTCGCATTGGCGGCGCCCGCTCCAACACCTGAGACAAGGTAAATTACCGCTGTTGCCAACGCGGCAACTTTCGTCTTGACCTCCAGGAAGCAGGATTCACCAACCCCGATATCAAGTGCTCCGCCTGGGACCCCACGAAGAAACCGATTCACGTAGATGCATATCTGAGCCGCCGCGCCGACGCCTCCGTGGAAACCTGTGAATCGGGCCTCCAACCCATCTGCGCGCGCGCTCGCTCGCAGCTTTGAGCTGCCCCTTCGTCGCCCACGCGGTGTTCGCAGGACAAGTGCACGCCCGCGTCGGCCACCGCTCTGGAAATCATACCTTTCGCAAGCGGTGACCAACTAGTTACATGGGCAAACTCGAGACTCAAATGTCGCCCATGCTTGTTGCTGAAGCTGCTGCTGGACTGGCTGAGGGGGCCACGTCGCGCGCAGAAGTGGACGCCCAAGAGATCGTTCGCATGGGCCGAGACCTGGAAGCGCATGGCCGTCTTGGCCTCGACCTCCTTCGCGAGGAGGGCCCCCGGCCGCTCTGGGTCGCCTGGGTCGACAGCGTCGGCCGTGCGTTTCTGCCTCAGCGCCTCGAGCTCCTCGGACTCCTCCTCGCCGAGCAGGTCTGCGTCGCCGTCGTCTCCGGCTGGTCGATCCTGGCCTCCGAGTTCTGCTTCGTCGCGAGCGGCCTGCCCTCCGCCAGCACCTGCCGCGCGAAGTGGGCAACGCGCTGCGAGCTGGGCCGCGCCAGTCAGCGAGGAGCACTTTAACCGCGTCGGCAACGCGCCGTAGGTCGTCGTCGTCGCACTCGCGAAGCCGATGAAGTAGATCAGGGCTTGGGGCGCTGGCCGCCCGGCTGGCGGGGTAGGCCTCGCCGCCGTCGGGGCTGGGCGGCCTGGGGCCCCGTGCCCTCGCGGCCTCCGCCGTTGCCTGCTGCGCAAGCCCGCGCCCCTCCTCGTCGAAGTCGGACTGGGCGGCCCTCGCTTCGCCGTGCACTCTGCAAGAAATCTCCAAGTCGCCGGCGGCTTGCTGGCGCGCCCCTTCAGCCTCGGCGCTGCCGCGCCATCCTCTCCGACTGGGCCGCCTGCTCCACATCTTTAGCGAGCTGGGTCCTCCTGGCCGCCGCGATCGCATCCAACTCCGCGGCAGTCGGCGGCTGCGGGGGGGCCTTGGCAGGCGAGACAGCTTGGATGTGCTGCCGAAGACTTGGGAACGCTTCAGTAGCTGCTTGCACTTATTGCGGTGGCATATCAGCGGGCGATGCATCATCCCATTAGAAGCTGTTGTCGCCGACCCCGATGAAGCGCGTCGTTGTGGGCACCCACGCTTAGAGCATGACCTGTGCACCCAGTAGGTGCGCCCCGTGCCCGCACTTGTCGTGGCCGCATGCGCTGCAAAGGTAGTTTTGGCCCTCGTTTCGACGCTGCCGAGGCCGACGCGCGCCGCCCGCGCCACGAAGATTGTCAGCTTGCGAAGGCTGGCCATGCCATGCCCAGGGCGCGCGGGTCCATTGCTGGCCACGCGCGCCCATCGAGCGCGCTGAGAAGGTTGTTCCAGCAGGAGCCCACACAACCCAGCCACCAGAGAGCGTGCGGGCATCTCCCTGGCGACAGTCTCGCCTGCCAGTGGGACTTGGGAAGGCCGCGCGGCCGCGGACATGCTCGAAGCCTCGCGGCAAGTCTTCGAACTTGAGCCAAAATGGCTACAGGGAGGAGGGGGGGAGGCGGAGGAGCAAGAGGAAGAGGAAGCCCGATCGAGCAGGGCAACGTCGCGTTGCACCCTCTTCTCCTCCACCCCCCGCCCGCATGCCCCTGCGGCCGATTGCGGGAGGAGTCGGACAGAGCGACGCAGGGGATCGGCCTTGCTGCTGCTATCTCTCTCTCTCTCTCTCTTTCTCGATCGACTGCACCCCTCCGCCAGCCGAGCCCGACGGTCGGGCTTGCATGCGCTATGCCAAGGTCGGGCGCGTCCTCCTACAGGCTGAATTAGGGCAAGCATAAAACATAAGCCAGAAGCGCTCACAAGAGTCAAACAATATTCGACAAATCAGCGTGCTCCACATATCGAGCCGCGCCGCCGATGCGTCGGCGATGCGGCGCGGTCCTCCGACCACGTCTACTCTTCTCTCAAGTCTGGCGTGTCCCTCTAAAGGAGGAATACCAAAAAAAATGTACCAAATAATCATGGGGGCGATGTTTTGACTATGCTTGTAAATGTTTTGAGTATGTTTTGACTATTGTTGACTTTTCGTCCAAAATCCGCCTGTAGGGGGACACGCCCGACCTAAGTCTACTCCGATCCTACTTGGGAGGCCTGGAGTGGAAACGAACGAAGCAGGGACCATGACCAAAGCTGAGCGCAAAAGCGTCGTGCCGATTTTGCTCATTGACGATCTTGGTCAGCTTCAAGCCGTGGATCATCCTCGCGAATGGGCAACGGCCGACATGGACCATGACCAAGATCGGCATCGACCACATTTCGCAGAAGGAGGGGGTACGGCTTCTTGAAAGGAGGCTGTCTCTTTGAAGGCGCCGGCCGCCCTTCTTAGAACCCAAGGCGCGCCGCTTCTTAGAAACACTCGAGCAGCGTCTTAGAAGCAAGGGACAACTCCTGAGAAACACTAGCACCTTCTTAGAAGCAAGAGACCCGCTCCTTAGAAGCACGCCCGGAACAGCTGCTAATACGCAGCCGCCAGCTTCTTAGCAGCGGCGCCCGCGCCTTCTGAGAGGGGGTGGCGGCTCTAAGAAGCCTTCCCCCATCTCGCCGCCCCCCTCCTTGCCGTCGCTCGGACGTCCATTTCTCGTGCAGTGTTCGGTTTCGTGCGTGTGTTTTTTTGCTCGATGGTCCAGGATGGTCCTCGATGGTTCTCGCCGAGAAAAAATGCACAGGTCCGAGCGATGCCAGGCCTCCGAGCGTGGCTGAGATTTGGGTGGCTGCACGGAGGGAGGGAACCACCACGTGTACGTGGTCCGCGAGCACGTCCACGCATTCGTGTCCGTGTACGGCCCCATCCTGCACGCGCGGTGCTCCTGCAGCGCGGCGCGCGCGCGCGCGGCGACCGCTCGCACGGGTCCTCCTCCTCC